TTGTTCGTCCGACATTTGCCTATATTTGTCTTCAGCCATCTTCCCATGTTTATATTACATTTTACAATCTTCCCTGTCTCTTCTGCATAAAAGCAGGTCCATAACAAGAGGCTCCCCACACCATATATGACACTGGGGGTGGTGCACTGAGGGGGATGAGCTGTGATAGTTTTGCGCCATATATCATGTTTTGCATTTTGGCCAAAAAGTACTGCCTCAGAGTACAACTAATATCCCCATGTGCAGATTGCCCCTGCTCATCCAGGGCAATCCTCCTCCAGAGTTATCCTGGGCACATTGTTGCATTTCTGATCAGTCCTCTCCTTGACTTGTTGGCCTCTTTCCATTTCCTAGTAATGTATCGAACAGTGCTCTGTGAGATGCTCAAAGCTTGACAAATGTAATGCAGAAATGTGCAAGCACCAATTTTCTTTAAATAAAAAAAGTATGCATTTTCTTTCACAGCTGTCTTCCAAAAGGTGCAAAAGTTCAAGTGTGTTAGTACTTTTTCCCCCACCTCTGCATGTGTTAACTCTTTCCTCAACCATTTGGTAGATCACTTTTTGAGTCACTATATCGACTTGAAGCTTGGCACTGAAATCTGCTTGATTGGAGCATCTGTATAACTTGGTTTGAAGCACTTTTACCATCAAACTGCATCTCAACCATTTGGTAAAGACCTATAATTTAAAAAACTTGGAGTAAAAACATAAAAACAAATTATGTTATTATTTTTTCCACATCTTAGAAAATCAATAATATACAGAAAATTACATGGCTTTCTTCAAGCAGTGAACATTAAGGGGTTCATTAAACGGCCATATTGGGTAGAAAATATTTTAATTTAACGGTAAACTGAACACAAATGTTCCAGATAAAATCATATGGCATAACAAGCGAACACGTGTAGCGCTAATGCTTTTGAGCTGAGAGTCACAGCTGTGCCAGAGCTTTGAACCCTAGCCCTGCAGTGGGACATTCCTGGCCTGGCCGGGCAGGAGCAGCCCTCTTCAGGTGGGAGGGTTCTGGGGGTGTCCTGGATGAATTAGATGCATTGTGCTGTGGAGGTGGAAAGGTTCAGAGCCCAGAGACCTGAGCCCACTGGGAGCCTCTGAGGCCTCAGGGGGCCGTCACAGGGTGTCAACAAGTCAGAGACACGGAGAGAAGTTTTGAAGCGTTCTGAAGTTACTCACCTGCCCTTTCAGCTATTCAGAAGGCTTTTCTGTCACAAACCTGGATTGTCATATTGTTTTGGTTTGTGCTGTTTTCTTGTATTCAGTTATATATTCTTATTGACATTAGCATACACAACTGTTGCGGTTCATTAGGTCTTCTGATAGATTCCTCACGTTGATTATTCAAGACCAGAGTGCTGCTCCAGCAGTTTAAAATGTCAGGTACAAAAAAAACACAAATCATCTTCTCGTAACAGCTGTTTGAATTCACATTCCTACTCTATATATTTTGTTCCCAGACTAAAGCAATACATAATATTCTCATTGTTTTTCCAAACATGCATGAACAAAAAAGTCAGACCATAAGACCTTTATTCATTTAATTAATGAATGGCTGTGCTTTGTCTTTGGCAGACCTATAGTGTTTATATAGCTGGATATAGCTGGATATAGACAGTTTTGGATTATTTGATGTTGGGCCTTAAAACTGCATTCCACAAAATGAATTCTTGACAAGAAAATAAAAACTAAAATGGCACAATTTTAAATGAATTGTGCAGTCATTGACATTGGTAATGCATGCTTAATCTCCTTTGCCAGTGACTGCAACATAAATTGGCTAAAGACGATTTCATACCTACTGCTTGTAGAAATAGAAATAGGTATTATGAATATTTGACAAATACAAACTTCTCTTTTTCGTCTCCTGACCTGCATGGCCTCCTCCTGCAGTACATTCTTGTTTTTATGGGCCGTTTCACCCCGCCTGCGGCTGCACTCGCACTCATCACCACATACATCCAAAACAAAGAGTGGTCATCATAACCCCTGACCTCTTGTCCACTTCATGGAGCTTCACGCAGCAGTTGCTTGTGTGACGGTGGCAGTTTTATGTCCACACAGTTCACACACACAGAGATACACTGCCTTCACAGACACACACATGCACACACACGTTTAGTGAGCTGCTCTCTTTGATACGGGTGCTGGTGCTTGGGAACAGATGTTACACTCGCTCTTTGACATCAGGTGACTGATGACAGCATGAGGAGGTGGCAACTGAGAAAGAAATGTGTGAAAATTACAGACAGCGAAACTGACTGAATAAAACAAGCTTTCAATCTAGGGCTGCATGTTTCTGACAAAATATCTAAATGCATTTGCAATGCGATTGGCCAAATCTGTGTGCTTAAAAAGTATAATTTTGTTTAGAGAGTTACATTAGAAAAAGCATACTGTACCTATGAAGTGGTCACCACATTTTCTAAAATGTTGTTAAAAATGTGAAAATTCTTAAGTGACTGTAAACTATAATCATCAAGCTTGATAACAAAGGCTTGATATATGTCACTTTGCATGTAATAAGTCATTATATATTATATTGGTTTCACATTTTAAAGGTATTTAAAGGTATAGGTCCCACTTTCACTGTCTATCACATCGTAGTGATCACAGAAAGTGCTAAACCACACATTTTGCACATTTAAGGGGCTTTGTACTAAGGAGACCACTGCTCCTGACAGAGGCCAAAGTGGCATTCCAGGATGGGTCAAATGCAAAGGACAAAGTTCCGCACGGGGGATAGATAAAGTGCACATTTACATTTTTGAATTCCAAAAGGTTGAGGGAGACGCAATCGGTTACTGAGCTAGTTTACTTTTCAATGTAAGTCAAAAGGATCCAAACTGAAAATGGATCATAAGCCATAATCATGAAATGTATAACAAAATCTTGGCATATGTCACTTTGATGTAATGAGTCTATATTATAGTTTCACACTCCACTCTATTCTTCTTTCAATTCTCTCCTGTCTTTCGACAAGTGTTATAACAGTCCTCTACTGTGTCTATCAGATATTCTTCACAATAGTTTTTTCATCGCTTATATGATCACAGAGTGCTAAACCACACATTTTAAATCCCAAAATGGTGAGGGAGCAAAACTTTGTCTATCATTTTTTAATTCAGACTTTAGACTTAGACTCATATGCATGCACAGGATCCATAGCTAAGAATAATAAAGAAAAGTACGAGCATCAGCTAGAGACTTGGCTTATAACATAAGATGTAAATCAAACTACTGTTTAAGTTTTACACTAAAAACCCTTTGTTTTATCTTCTTTAGGTCATGTCATGTAATATGGTCCAATAATGGTCTTTCCTGGACTGAAATGATCCGGTGAAAGTCATACAGGACTTCAAAGCTGCTCTGCCGGTGCCTGAAAAACAATGAAACCTTATTACAAAGCTGCTGGTTGAGGATTGAGCAGAGTGAAGGCTCTAGTGGACAGAGAATGTGAAATATGTGTAGGACTCAATCTGGAGAGCAGGAGTGCTGCAGTGACTGGCAAAAAGCCTGTGTCCACGTGTGATGGGTCTTTTGTTTTTATCTTCCTCTTTTGAAGAAGAAGAAGAAGAAGAAGAGAATTTGATATAATACGGGAAATTTCTACCAGTAACAAATGAGTCCAGAGCATTGTCTTGTCGATACTTAAATCCAGGAACACCCGAGAGATAATACTGTATGCCTGAGTTTCTTTCCTTGTCGTGGGCGATTATTAAAATGCTCCTGCTCTGTCGTAATGTGTAACTGAAAGCGTGAGGCAGAAACAGACTGACTCACAAAGTCGGTGTCTATGTGCTTTTCTCCTCGAGGAAACTGTCCCAAGTTTTGATTTTTTTAAACAGATCCTCAAACCAGTGTTGTGTGCAATTCAAATCAGAACATTGCCATTGATAAAGGTTGTTTAAATGTAAAATATAAGATTGTTTGCATGATTCTGATGAGATATGAAAATCCTTTTGTGTGTTTAGGCCTGTGTTATTTAAATTGTATGTCAGATACTTTACAATTATGAAGAGGAAGAGAGAGCAAGCACCTCACTAAAAACATGTACAATAAGTATGAATGTAATGAGTGAGTGAATGGATGGTGTTGGTTGGGGGCTTTGATGCACCAGTGTGTTCGGCGTCTCGCTTCTGTCATCACTGAGTGTGGCGAGAATGGAACAATATCTGACCTCTGAACATTGTGCTTTGGGTGACCTTGGTCTGTAAAAATGCGTGGTATAAATAAAGATTACTTACTTTTCTTACCTGTTTGACCCCACTGATAGGACGGAATAGATTGAAATCCTTGATACACAGACAAAGCCCAGTGCCATTGGAAAACCTCTATTTTTTGTGCGTATTGTCCAGCCCTTTACCATGCTATAAATAATATTATTTTGCTTGGCTAAATCATGGATGTATAATAATATCTGGATAGAGTGTCCAGCTTGCCCGTTACACTAGCTTAGAGCTGAAGGACCCATGTCCTCGGGGGATTCCCGCTGTACTGATTGATAAGGATGCGTTGTGCCCCTCTGTGCACGTGCATGAGTGCCACACGTGTATTTGCCGCAAAGCATCATGGTATCTCGTCCACTGCACAGAACCAGGAGGACCAGAGAAATGCCCAAATATGGGCGAGTTCCGGTAATCTTTCGGTGCCCATGGTGGCACATGCGCTACTGAGCACAAGTCATTGATTTGAATAGGGTGCCATCTTGGATCGCCGGGGCTTGGGCTAAATGTCTACTTGTTTTTTTAACTTGCTTTACTCAAAGTGAATGTCAGTCATGTAAAGAGAGAGTGAATGTTTTGGTGGTTAGACCCGCCCCTGTTCACCTATGCCAAGGGGAAAGACTATTTTGAATATTTCACTGTTGAAAAATACTAAATCAAATATATATAATACAACAGTGGTCAGAAATACACAATCTTTTAAAAAGGAATATAAATATATTTTATATCACCGATAATCTTTTTTTTTTTTCCTCCACAGATGAACATGATTCGGTTCAAAAGAAAACTTTTACCAAATGGATTAACGCTCAATTTTCAAAGGTAAGTCTTGGCATCAGAGAAGTTTAATTTGAATATCAAATCTTAAATTTTTTGTCTGAACTTTTATCCAGACGGGAAAGACGCCCATCAAGGACATGTTCTCTGACCTGAAGGATGGGAAGAAGCTGCTGGACCTTCTTGAAGGCCTCACTGGCTCTGTTCTGGTCAGTGAAACCACATCATTTTGACCGTAATCGTAGCAGCTTCAAGCTTTTAAGATTAAGAGATTAAGCTATCCTTTATTCGTCCCACAGTGGGGAAATTTCATTGTTGCATCATCACACAGTAGGAATGAGGAGCACACAACACAAGATAAGCAAACAATAACTCTATACTGAAATAAAATAAAAACTATAAAGAAACAAGTATACTTGTCACTAAATAAGCAAGTATAAAATGTCTAGCTTTAGTATAATAAATAAGCAAGTATTATAGCATTGTAAGAAAGCAAATATAAAATCTCCATCTTTTCCATAATAAGATGCAAAGATTAAGTACAAAATCTTTGACTTTAGCATAATGTTTTGATCATGTTGAATGTAAATATCAACTAGAAAGATTCAGAAAACTTTATTGATCGATTGAAAGGTACCTCCTCTATGAACTGGAATTTTGTTTCTCCAAATACTGCTGGACTCATTTCTGTTTTGAAGCACCTGCAGCGATATTAAGTGACAACAGACAAATGACAAGAGCCAACAGTGTCTGACAGAAAACGCTCACTCTATAATTGGGTGCTAACTTTGTGCACACTTAAAAGAGCGGCGAAGTTGGCAGCCACTCATCTCGACATTCCTTCCACACGTCGCCTTTTGCCTACTGCTGATAGGATAATGATTATATACAGTATGATAACATGCTCTCACACTGACATTATATATGTTTTTTAATATTAACATTGAAACATCAACTATTTGGGATTTTGTAAGCCAGTATACTGTATATGGTAAAAATTATCATTTTGTTCAAAAGTTGCTTTACTTCTGTTATTCAAATTACAATATAAATATACAAGACTCATTACAGGTCAAGTGATATATATAGAGCCTAATATTGATAATTATGGCTCAAAGCTTTAAAAAAATATATGTTGCTTTGCATGTAAGAAATCCGTATAATTTATTGATTTCACATTTGAAAGATATTTAAGAAGAATTTATTTGACGTCCCTCCTCTCGTTTTTGATTGGGCCACTATATTTATATCTTCCAGTCCTCTCCTGTCTTTCGCCTAGTGTTATGCCGGTCCCCTACTGTACATCTGCTTAGCGATCGATTATGTCATCATGTGATTTGGGGCTGAATACATGATTGACAGTGAGGTGGACCAATCACTGGCGTACTCATCACATTTACGTGGTAGAAACATCTCCCTAAATACCCCTTTAGTTGAGAAATTAACTAAACATTTCCAAGTTTCACCTGTATATGTGTACATTGATTTTAGTGAGGGCACACACACTGCTTATATGGGCTTATGTGTAGGGACATTGATTACATTTATAGACATTGGTCATGCAGGAGGGATGATCGGGGACATTCAAGGACATTTATGGACATTTATTAACATTTATGGACATTGGTCAACTGCCCCCTATGGACCAATGGCTCGTATGGGTTTGTAATTATTGCATTTTGTGTGTTTGAACTGTTTTATTCACCTGGCAAAGTCCTCCGAGACGACTACTGTTAGGATTTAGGGCTATACTAAAATAGACTGAATTGAATTGAAAGGAATGCCGCTACCCTATGGATCAATCCTTTGTGTTTGTATATGTATATTGCAATAATCTGTTGAGAAATTACAACAAGAATTTGACTGGGCAAAAGGGGCCCATTTCTGCTATAGGGTGACTCTTCACACTGTCACAATAAGATAAGATAAGATTTCTTTATTTATCTCACATAGGAGAAATTTACAATGTCAAAACCAGTGAATTAGTTACATGTTCAGATTAATCATCAAATCTGTATGGCTCATATTACCCATGCTATAGCCGCTTAGTTTTTTGCTGAATAATGGGAAGTAACTGATGAAGCATTTGTTTTCTCTTCCTCAGACCAAAGAGAAAGGCTCCACCAGAGTACATGCCCTCAACAACGTCAACAAAGCACTTCAAGTCCTCCATCAAAATAATGTATGTACCCAATTTTATGTTTATTCTCTACATAATTCTCTATTCCATTGTAAGTACAGTTTGTTTCCAACCGGGTCGAACTGGTAAAACAGCATGTCTGGTGCATTTCAGAACTCCGCGCACTCTCCTGACCCTCTGAATGGGTCATTTTGTCTCCAGTATTTTTCTATGGCCATCTGCTGCCCTTGCGCTTTTTGCTCATTTTTCCGCCTCCAGTTTGAACACAATGGTTGGTCCTAATACTCCGATTTATGCAGTGCAATTCAAGGCTTGGGGAAATGGCTTGTAACTTTTACAGCAGTGGTTCTCAAAGTGGGGGACTTGAGACACAGATGATATTATGCTGGAGGGTCTTAAGACAGTGATGATCTGGGTAATTTAAGGATATTTATGAAGATTTATGAACATTGGTCATCCTGCTCCCCATGGACCAATGGCTTCTATGTGTTTGTTATTATTGCATTTTCTGCGATTGATTTGCTGTTGGTGAATCGACAACTTTGTAAAGTCCCCCAAGACGACTGTGGTTGTGATTTAGGACTCGATGTTCACAATATTTCAATGATTTGACACAAAATTCAACGATTTAAGAAAAACGAGGTCATTTGACACTAGGGCTGTCTGTCTTCAGTCGATTGTGTCTCTGTCAACCAAACTTTGTATTAGTTGACTCATTATTTAATTTAAATCATAAGGATGTCTTTGGGAAAATTGCCAAGAAGGCTGGGGGCAAATTTGATGAGGATTTTGGTATTTACTTTGATCAAGGTAACTTTTTTTGTCCCATGCTCTCAGTTGGGTTTTGTGTCTTGCCCAGAGTCACAACGACAGCAAACTCTCTCTGAAGTCTGCTGTAGTTGTGTCCCTTGGCAAGACACTTAATCCCACTTTGCCTGAAGCCCACCACTGAAAGACAAAAGCCAACGCTGACGGAGCAGCCATCCTTCCTGTGCTACGAATAAAGGGGATGAAAATGAATTAATGAATAAATGAATGAACATTGATCAAGGTCAAACTCTCAATTCATTCATATTTTTCCTAAATATTCAGAGTAATATTCTGCCTAAATGGCTTATTTTTAGTCTTGCAATTTTGGATAAGTGACTGTTTTTAATGCTTTTTCTGTGTTTATATGTCAACTAATAAATCAAACTTCAGACTACAACCCTAAATAACACAACACATGAATCAAATAAATATCTATGCAACAGATTTAGCACAATTTGATGCAATTATTACTTCTTTAAATTATATCCAGCAAAGGGAGGTCAAATAAGGTGTTTTTTTGGCGGGCCCTGACTTAAAACTTACTGTACAGCTTTCTCTTTTCAAATACAGTTTTCCATGAACCCCAAAACATTTTTACTATTCGCATTAATTTCCTTTGTGATATGTGAAGTGAGTGACCTTACCATAAATGTTAAGTGAAGAAGCACAACTCTTTCCTCAGTGTATTTAAGCCTTTATTGCGCATCTGCTTTCAGTTACAGCCGCCCAGATACACATGTCAAACATCTGAAGGCCAGCGTGTTCCTTCTAATAGATAGGATTTTCTCGTTTGTGTGTGTAAAGAATGTGTAAGATATGATAGAGTAATTGCTATTTAAGTTTTCCTCTCCGCTTGCGTCCAGTCGGCAGATGTGCTTTTTCTCATGCAGACGTATGCGCTGTGTGTGCAGGTGGAACTGGTAAACATCGGGGGCACAGATATCGTCGACGGGAATCATAAACTCACCCTCGGACTCATCTGGAGTATTATTCTGCACTGGCAGGTGAGCACACAGGCCTGTCGACAGCTGCTGTGCACTTTCAAGCTTTCCATGTACATATTTACTTAAAATGTGCACTATGTTCTCTAGAGACTCAATTCTCCAGCCTCTCCATGTTAATACCTGTTATCAGCGTTTGTTATGTAGATGTTTGGATGTTTTGCAATCCTAGTATTTTTCTCACTGAAGTTTTTACTAGGACAATATCCCTTTTTGCTAAAGAAAACTGTCTATTTTTCATTGAAATGTGTTTTAGTTGATACATTTTTAGGCCCGAGCCCTGAACGGGGTAAGGGCCTATTGCTTTCACAATGGTGAAAACAAATGGTGGCGGTGCGTGACGGACGCGTCAGCGCCCGTCACTCACCAAAACGTGACGGTTGCGTGCGTAAACTCAAAAGCTTTAAAATGATGTATCAGGTGCCATTGAAACCTATATTGTTTTTGCTCGAGACGTTAACAAAAAAATTCCTTTTTTATTTATTAGGCCCGAGCCCCGAACGGGGTAAGGGCCTATTGCTTTCACAATGGTGAAAACAAATGGTGGCGGTGCGTGACGGACGCGTCAGCGCCCGTCACTCGCCAAAACGTGACGGTTGCGTGCGTAAACTCAAAAGCTTTAAAATGATGTATCACGTGCCATTGAAACCTATATTGTTTTTGCTCGAGACGTCGAAAAAAAAATTCCTTTTTTATTTATTAGGCCCGAGCCCCGAACGGGGTAAGGGCCTATTGCTTTCACAATGGTGAAAACAAATGGTGGCGGTGCGTGACGGATGCGTCAGCGCCCGTCACTCACCAAAATGTGACAGTTGCGTGCGTAAACTCAAAAGCTTTAAAATGATGCATCACATGCCATTGAAACCTATATTGTTTTTGCTCGAGACGTTAACAAAAAAATTCCTTTTTTATTTATTTATTAGGCCCGAGCCCCGAACGGGGTAAGGGCCTATTGCTTTCACAATGGTGAAAACAAATGGTGGCGGTGCGTGACGGACGCGTCAGCGCCCGTCACTCACCAAAACGTGACGGTTGCGTGCGTAAACTCAAAAGCTTTAAAATGATGTATCACGTGCCATTGAAACCTATATTGTTTTTGCTCGAGACGTCGAAAAAAAAATTCCTTTTTTATTTATTAGGCCCGAGCCCCGAACGGGGTAAGGGCCTATTGCTTTCACAATGGTGAAAACAAATGGTGGCGGTGCGTGACGGACGCGTCAGCGCCCGTCACTCACCAAAATGTGACAGTTGCGTGCGTAAACTCAAAAGCTTTAAAATGATGTATCACATGCCATTGAAACCTATATTGTTTTTGCTCGAGACGTTAAAAAAAAAATTCCTTTTTTATTAGGCCCGAGCCCCGAACGGGGTAAGGGCCTATTGCTTTCACAATGGTGAAAACAAATGGTGGCGGTGCGTGACGGACGCGTCAGCGCCCGTCACTCACCAAAATGTGACAGTTGCGTGCGTAAACTCAAAAGCTTTAAAATGATGTATCACATGCCATTGAAACCTATATTGTTTTTGCTCGAGACGTTAAAAAAAAAATTCCTTTTTTATTAGGCCCGAGCCCCGAACGGGGTAAGGGCCTATTGCTTTCACAATGGTGAAAACAAATGGTGGCGGTGCGTGACGGACGCGTCAGCGCCCGTCACTCACCAAAACGTGACGGTTGCGTGTGTAAACTCAAAAGCTTTAAAATGATGTATCAGGTGCCATTGAAACCTATATTGTTTTTGCTCGAGACGTTAAAAAAAAAATTCCTTTTTTATTAGGCCCGAGCCCCGAACGGGGTAAGGGCCTATTGCTTTCACAATGGTGAAAACAAATGGTGGCGGTGCGTGACGGACGCGTCAGCGCCCGTCACTCACCAAAATGTGACAGTTGCGTGCGTAAACTCAAAAGCTTTAAAATGATGTATCACATGCCATTGAAACCTATATTGTTTTTGCTCGAGACGTTAAAAAAAAAATTCCTTTTTAGGCCCGAGCCCCGAACGGGGTAAGGGCCTATTGCTTTCACAATGGTGAAAACAAATGGTGGCGGTGCGTGACGGATGCGTCAGCGCCCGTCACTCACCAAAATGTGACAGTTGCGTGCGTAAACTCAAAAGCTTTAAAATGATGTATCACATGCCATTGAAACCTATATTGTTTTTGCTCGAGACGTTAACAAAAAAATTCCTTTTTTATTTATTAGGCCCGAGCCCCGAACGGGGTAAGGGCCTATTGCTTTCACAATGGTGAAAACAAATGGTGGCGGTGCGTGACGGACGCGTCAGCGCCCGTCACTCACCAAAACGTGACAGTTGCGTGCGTAAACTCAAACGCTTTAAAATGATGAATCACATGCCATTGAAACCTATATTGTTTTTGCTCGAGACAAGTCACAAAAAATTCCTTTTTTATTTATTTATTTATTAGGCCCGAGCCCCGAACGGGGTAAGGGCCTATTGCTTTCACAATGGTGAAAACAAATGGTGGCGGTGCGTGACGGACGCGTCAGCGCCCGTCACTCACCAAAACGTGACGGTTGCGTGCGTTAACTCAAAAGCTTTAAAATGATGTATCACGTGCCATTGAAACCTATATTGTTTTTGCTCGAGACGTCGAAAAAAAAATTCCTTTTTTATTAGGCCCGAGCCCCGAACGGGGTAAGGGCCTATTGCTTTCACAATGGTGAAAACAAATGGTGGCGGTGCGTGACGGACGCGTCAGCGCCCGTCACTCACCAAAATGTGACGGTTGCATGCGTAAACTCAAAAGCTTTAAAATGATGTATCACATGCCATTGAAACCTATATTGTTTTTGCTCGAGACGTTAACAAAAAAATTCCTTTTTTATTTATTAGGCCCGAGCCCCGAACGGGGTAAGGGCCTATTGCTTTCACAATGGTGAAAACAAATGGTGGCGGTGCGTGACGGACGCGTCAGCGCCCGTCACTCACCAAAACGTGACGGTTGCGTGCGTAAACTCGAACACTTTAAAATGATGTATCACGTGCCATTGAAACCTATATTGTTTTTGCTCGAGACGTCGAAAAAAAAATTCCTTTTTAGGCCCGAGCCCCGAACGGGGTAAGGGCCTATTGCTTTCACAATGGTGAAAACAAATGGTGGCGGTGCGTGACGGACGCGTCAGCGCCCGTCACTCACCAAAACGTGACGGTTGCGTGCGTAAACTCAAAAGCTTTAAAATGATGTATCACATGCCATTGAAACCTATATTGTTTTTGCTCGAGACGTTAAAAAAAAAATTCCTTTTTTATTTATTAGGCCCGAGCCCCGAACGGGGTAAGGGCCTATTGCTTTCACAATGGTGAAAACAAATGGTGGCGGTGCGTGACGGACGCGTCAGCGCCCGTCACTCACCAAAACGTGACGGTTGCGTGCGTAAACTCAAAAGCTTTAAAATGATGTATCACGTGCCATTGAAACCTATATTGTTTTTGCTCGAGACGTCGAAAAAAAAATTCCTTTTTTATAGGCCCGAGCCCCGAACGGGGTAAGGGCCTATTGCTTTCACAATGGTGAAAACAAATGGTGGCGGTGCGTGACGGACGCGTCAGCGCCCGTCACTCGCCAAAACGTGACGGTTGCGTGCGTAAACTCAAAAGCTTTAAAATGATGTATCACGTGCCATTGAAACCTATATTGTTTTTGCTCGAGACGTCGAAAAAAAAATTCCTTTTTTATTTATTAGGCCCGAGCCCCGAACGGGGTAAGGGCCTATTGCTTTCACAATGGTGAAAACAAATGGTGGCGGTACGTGACGGACGCGTCAGCGCCCGTCACTCACCAAAACGTGACGGTTGCGTGCGTAAACTCAAACGCTTTAAAATGATGTATCACGTGCCATTGAAACCTATATTGTTTTTGCTCGAGACGTTAAAAAAAAAATTCCTTTTTTATTTCTTTCTTTCTTTTTTCTTCTGCACTTTGAGCCTTAATTTGACCCCCTGAACATGCATGAAAAGTTGTTAAATTTTGCCCAAAAATCAGACCTGGCGAAAAATTTGATATTTTGGTGTTTATTTTTATGGGACTCAAAAAATGACTGAACAGCGCCACCTACAACAGCCAAAATAATACCCCTATGGGAGTTTTGGAGATCAAGTTTGTCGTAAAGCCATGAAATTTGGTACACATGTTCCTCAAGTCAAGACGAGAAAAAAATATTATTATGGCCCCGCCCTCTGACAAACAGGAAGCCCATAAATTTCACTGCAAAATGGAAAAATGAACAGCAAAAGTTTTCATACATGTCGGTTGGAAAGCGACTCCTCCTCGGCCGTTTCACCGATTCGCCTCAAAATCGCTCCACATCATCTCAACACATGTACCTTCAAAATGACCTCAGGGATTTTTGATCAGTGAAACATTGTTCGAGCAGCGGAGCGGCAAAATGTGACCTTTTTTTGGCCGTTTTTGACAACATTAAATTTGCTCCCGTTTGCACAAACAAAGTCTGATTTGCACAAAACTTTAATACATTGTTCAACTCTAGGGTCTAGGTCATTTGAAAGTTAATTTATTCAAATTGACACATTAGCACCCCCTACAGACTATTTCAACGTTTTAGATGGGCATTTTCAAATTCAGTTTTTTCAAAATGTTTGAAATTTTGCACATACATCTGTTTTGCCCTCTTGATTCAAAAAGTCAATAGGGTCCAAGGCTTATTTTTTACCCTGTTGCCGCGGCGACGACAAATGCGCCCCATTCATTGCAAATGTACACCTCACACAAACATCAAACCAGTCTCGGCCGTTTCACCGATTCGCCTCAAAATCACTCCACATCATATCAACACATATACCATCAAAATGACTTCAGGGAATTTTGATCAGTGAAATGTTATTTGAGCAGCAGAGCGCCAGAAAGTGGCGTATTTTTTTTCAGTTTTTGACAATAGAAAAATTGCTTCCGTTTGCACAAACAAAGTCTGATTTGCACAAAACTTGAATCCATGGTTCAACTCTTGGGTCTAGGTAATTTGAAGGTTAGAATTTTGAAATTGGCTCTATAGCGCCACCTACAACAGCCAATTTAAAAATGCCTATGGGAGGGGTTTGAGGTCAAAATTTTCGTAGAACCATGTAATTTGGTACACATGTTCCTCAAGTCAAGACATGGAAAAAATCTAATTATGACTAATCCCTCCGACAAACAGGAAGCCCATAAATTTCACTGCAAAATGGAAAAATGAAAACCAATCATTCTCATACACGTCGGTTGGAAAGCGACTCATCCTCGGCCGTTTCACTGATTGGCTTCAAAATTGTTACAAATCATCTCAACACATTTACCTTCAAAATGACTTCAGGGATTTTTGATCAGTGAAACGTTGTTTGAGCAGCGGAGCGGCAAAATGTGAGGGTTTTTTTGGCCGTTTTTCACAACATACATTTCTTCCCCGTTTGCACAAACAAAGACTGATTTTCATTAAACTCGAATCCATTGTTCAACTCCAGGGTTTAGGTCAGGTAAAAAGTGAAATATTTGAAATTGGCCCATTAGCGCCCCCTAAAGACTGAGTCAAAGTTTAAATGGGGAGCCAAACCAGCTCTACTTATCATATTCATTACAGTTTGACTAACAATCTTCTATGGCTACGGGAGCAAATCATCACACAACGGCGCCACCTCCTTTGAGCGGTGCTGCGTGGTACGGTGTGGTGCGGCGTAGTGCGGGGCGTTGTGGAGCGGCGCATTGCGGCTTGGTGCGGCTTGGTGCGGGGCGGCGTGAGGCGGGACAGCGTGGTGCAGGGCGGCGTGGTGCGGGGTGGCTTGGTGCGGGGTGGCTTGGTGCAGGCCGACGTGGAACGGGGTGGTGCGCGCGGTGCGGGGAGTCGCGCGTTGCGGCGAGGGCCGTTTGACGCCGCTTGCGGCTTTTTAATTTATTTATTTCTTTCTTTCTTTCTTTCTTTCTTTCTTTTTTCTTCTGCACTTTGAGCCTTAATTTGACCCCCTGAATATGCATGAAAAGTTGTTAAATTTTGCCCAAAAATCAGACCTGGCGAAAAATTTGATATTTTGGTGTTTATTTTAATGGGACTCAAAAAATGCCAGAACAGCGCCACCTACAACAGCCAAAATAATACCCCTATGGGAGTTCTGAAGATGAAGTTTGTTGTAGAGTCATGAAATTCGGTACACATGTTCCTCAAGTCAAGACAAGAAAAAAATATTATTATGGCTCCGCCCTCTGACAAACAGGAAGCCCATAAATGTCACTGCAAAATGGAAAAATGAACAGCAAAAGTTTTCATACATGTCGGTTGGAAAGCGACTCCTCCTCGGCCGTTTCACCGATTCGCCTCAAAATCGCTCCACATCATCTCAACACATGTACCTTCAAAATGACCTCGGGGATTTTTGATCAGTGAAACATTGTTCGAGCAGCGGAGCGGCAAAATGTGACCTTTTTTTGGCCGTTTTTGACAACATTAAATTTGCTCCCGTTTGCACAAACAAAGTCTGATTTTCACAAAACTTTAATACATTGTTCAACTCTAGGGTCTAGGTCATTTGAAAGTTAAATGATTCAAATTGACACATTAGCGCCCCCTACAGACTATTTCAAAGTTTTAAATGGGCATTTTCAAATTTAGTTTTTTCAAAATGTTTGAAATTTTGCACATACATCTGTTTTGCCCTCTTGATTCAAAAAGTCAATTGGGTCCAAGGCTTATTTTTTACCCTGTTGCCGTGGCGACGACAAACGCTCCCCATTCATTGCAAATATACACCTCACACAAACATCAAACCAGCCTCGGCCGTTTCACCGATTCGCCTCAAAATCGCTCCACATCATCTCAACACATGTACCATCAAAATGACTTCAGGGAATTTTGATCAGTGAAACGTTGTTTGAGCAGCGGAGCGCCAAAAAGTGGCGTATTTTTTTTCAGTTTTTGACCATAGAAAAATTGCTTCCGTTTGCACAAACAAAGTCTGATTTGCACAAAACTTGAATCCATGGTTCAACTCTTGGGTCTAGGTCATTTGAAAGTTAAAATTCTGAAATTGGCTCTATAGCGCCACCTACAACAGCCATATTAAAAATGCCTATGGGAGGGGTTTGAGGTCAAAATTGTCGTAGAACCATGTAATTTGGAACACATGTTCCTTAAGTCAAGACATGGGAAAAATGTTATTATGGCTAAGCCCCTGACAAACAGGAAGCCCATAAATTTCATTGCAAAATGGAAACATGAAAACCAATCATTTTCATAAACGTTGGTTGGAAAGCGACTCCGCGTCTTCAGCCGACAGCAGCCAGGTCAGCACCTCCTCCAGTGTGGTCTGGTACGTGTCCAGATCCACCTCCGAGAAGCTCAGGTCTGCTTCCGGCTCTGTGGCTGTGTCCGGGGTCTCCGGCCGGGGGCTGCTTGGAGCCTCCTCTCTCTGAACACATAGGAAAACAAAACAAGTAGGTTAATAATGTAAAACAAGAATGATAAAAATGATTTTAAAAAAGATAAAATATGAGGTATTAATTGCTGGAATCGAGAAGGTTTTTTTCTTAATTTAAGTTAATTTAGTCCTAAATCAAGAAATGTTTCTTTATTTTCTCATTCCAAGGCAGACATTTCTTGTGTCTTTTTTTAAACAAGATCATTTTGCTTTGTCCCTTTGGTAAATCTTGTTTTAAGGCAGTCAAAATGTGCTCAAATTAATTACAATTTGCCAAATTTGAGTAATTTGAGACTTATTTTCTATCACTTTTTGCAGGGTATCCAGACACTCCAAAAATAAATGTGATCTTAATCAAAAACCCTTTGATGAATGAATAAAGCACCATGTTTCAGCCTCGGGTGGTCTGCATTAGGACTTCATTAGTGAGTGAGTAAGTAATCTTTATTTATATAGTGCCTTTCACAAAATCACACACGGGGTTGCCGTACAGGGGGCGCATGCCAGAAATGTTTTAGGTGGTAAAAGAAACTGGAGCACCAGGAGGAAATCTACACAGACACGGGGGAAAGGTCCTGTCTCGAGGTGGAATCCAACCCAGGACAGTTTTACTAAATAAGATAAGAGTTCCTTTATTCGTCCCACAGTGGGGCAATTTCGATGTTGCAGCGCACACACAGGACAGTAGTAAGAGCACACAGGGATCACACACAATATACAAAATAAGTAGTAGCTATGTTTCTTAACTAGCATAACTGGCTGTAGATGCTGAAAATGCTTCAATACCAGTCAAAAAATGTATACATGTAGTAGTGTAGAGTTATGAACTGTACATATATAAATGCTAACTGCTGCGCCACAGTTTTGCCTAATCAGTGGGTGAATCCAAGGGCTGGAACAAGTTATCAAGTAATTGCAAATAATCGATTATTGAAATAGTTTAGTAATAATAAGAATGCCGTAATGTGAGAGGACAAGTGCCCAAAAATAACAATTGTAAACCGCTTTGTGACTCTGGTCTGTGAAAGGCGATATATAAATAAAGATTACTTACTCACTTACTTACTTAATACTGACAATTTTTTACCTTACAAAGACATAAACATGCTGAGATTAGAGATACTCAGATAATTCTATAACGACTGCAGAATGAAATGCAAAAGCGTACACAAAGTCCAACATTTTTTAATCAAACAACCCAACACACCATCTCTATGAAGAACACTTGAGATTGGTTTTGGTTAACTGTGTACAAAATCCCATATTTAGTATAAAACATTGAATCAAAATAATAAATTACACCCCTTGTTAATCATTTTGTGTTTGATTATTTATTCATTTATTTTTACATGTATGAAGTTTATATGAGCAGAACTTGGGCAGTGGTATTTATGTGACCTACTAGCTTCTTCATTCACCCTTGTTCACACCAGATGCCTTGTTTGGAGCATTACACCTCCAGCAGGGGTGTGGGCAGTGCATATAAGGTGACATGCCCAGCCCTATAAAACATTGGGCCTTTTATGAAAGACAGGGTGGTGCACAGACCTGGCAAGTTAGTCCTCATTCTAAAGGTAATAGTAGGCAACATAAACAGGTGCCACAGTGAAGGATCATTGTGTTGCATGTTTTTGAGGTTATATACTAGTTATATAACTAGCTGCTAATTAAGATCAATGAACAAAGAAGGAGCCAAGGGGAGTAACACGAAACCTTAATAGTGGTATTAACAAACTTCTGCAGAGGCAATAGAGTGGAAGACTCAGGAGCAGAAGAAGTAGGAATGCAAAGTTTATTTGCATTGCACATTTCAGACTTAGGGCAACTCAAGGCAGCCTAGGTCTTCCCACAGGAGATTAATGGATGGAAACAAGGCTACACTCAGGATACTTTATGAACCAAAATATAATCATGAAACAATTACAAGAATACAAAATACAAAATCCCAGTAGATTCATTTTAAAATAATTGATTTTAAAAGAAGAGCAGTTGTATGCATGGCTAAACAAAACTGTTTAGAGTCTAAGCTTGTCTCACATTTTCAGTCAGATTTTAGTTCATAAAAACAAAAAGCTGACTCCCCATGCTGAGTACTGACTAAACTATTATATACTACAGCCATACACCGGTACTTCACTTCCTACAGAGCTGAGGAAATGCCAGGAAAAAACTTTTACAGTAATCTTTTCCAGCACTTGTTCCAGGGAGTGTGAAGTATGTGGCAGTAAACCCTGGGGTAGGTTCTGGAGACTACCTGATATTCTGCATACAGTTATCATTTCCATGTTCTATTAGCCATATTAATTTTGAACTCATTCGTTTATTTCTCTTTCTAGTAGCAGTATTAAGTAAAATCGTTTTGTTTATACTGAATTAAGTCAACAAAACAAAACTAAGTGGTCAGATCAGAATCACAATCAGAATTCTTTGTATTTCCTTTGTAAGTAACAGGAAGTCACTGGAAAACAAAGAATTTGGTTTGGTATAATGTGCAAACAAGTCACAAAAAAGTGAAGAATTGATATAAACCCATGGTGGGTTCGAGCCCACCATGGGACCTTCCCCACCGACTCTCACTAATGTCTGCTGTCATCATGTCCTTGGCAAGACACTTAACCTTTGGGAACACCAGGTGCCACAATGGGGCGGCTACGGCTGTAAAGTACCAAACTGTTGTTGTGTCTTTGGCAAGACACTTCACCCCCTTTGCCTAGAATGAGTCTGGTGTGTGTGTGAATGGTTGGTGGTGGTTGGAGGGGCCGATGGCACATACTGGTTGCCTCGCTTCAGTCAGTGTGCGTCAGGGCAGCTGTGGCTACAATATTAGTTTATCACCACCGTGTATGGAGTGAATGAATAATGACGCATGTAAAGCGTCTTTGAGTGTCCAGAAAAGCGCTATATAAAACCGATGCATTAGTTACTGTATTATTAACTGCAGATCAACTTTTCTACCGCAGCCTCCAAGGTTCAAGCCGGGAAGAGATATGAAAAGGCGCAAGATATTGACAAAAACCAACACAGAAAGTAGAGAAGGCGGCAATAGCGATCACAATCACTGGCATGCAGATTCGGATAGGATTAATATTATCACTGGACGTCTGTGTTTGGACAAATACAGGCAATCTGCACCAAAATGATTACTTTACAAATTACAGACAGGACTAATATCTCAGATGTCCTCCGGGATTATCACAAATTAGCAGAGGTCCACATGTAATACTAATCTTGTACGAAGACTGGTTATCTGAGTTCTGACAATCATAGTTACCACCAGGAATGATTTTTCAGATGCCCTCCTTCACAATTTTATTCTATTGCCTCTTTGGAATGTTGTGATGTTTTTGTAACTGTTAGATCTGTTGTAAATTATCAAAGCTAAATATTTTCTGAGGCGTTAGTTGAGAAAAGGTTACCTGAGCGTTAAGAGTAGCTCCAGCTTGTGCCTCAACCTTATATTTCCGAGGCAGAGTCTCCACTTCCCTGATCGCTTCCATGGTAACATCTTTGGGCAGGACCGCGAACAGCGACGTCACATACATGATGATGGACTTCTTGTCAGGTAATTGCACAGCAACGTCTGAGAGAGTTGGAAAATACACATTAGACAATATAATACATTTTTATAGAATAGGGTTTGGGAAAAAAGCATTTAAATTTTTCTGTCATAAATAATACCTTCAGGGTCCAGCAGCTTCTCTATACTGAGGTGGGTTTTGGCTGCGGTGAATGCATGGTCCATTCTTTCTATGGGGGTCATTCCGACGACGTGATCCCAGCTGAATGCATGTGGCCTGAACACAGAGGAGACATGACAGAAACTTTGAGATACTTTATTCTTCCAACAGTGGGGAAATGTCGGTGTTGCATCACAAGATACAGAGAGTAGGAATGAGGAGCACACAACACAAGATTAATGAACAGAAAAGAAATGAACAATGACTCTAAAACTAGACTAAAATAAAGAAGCAAGAATTAAGTACAAAATTTAGCATAATAAGAAGCAAGTATAAAATTCTATATATTCTAGTGCAAGAAACATATAGTTGTAAGTATACTGTGCATGTACATGTTAGCAGCATGAGGGCATGGACAAAGACAAAGTCTAACTGTATCAATTATCTGTACTCTAAATTCCTATCTTTTGTTCATGAGAATGACCCCTTTGAGATAAAGTACTGTATAATTTGAATAAAGTTGATAATGACCTTTACGATGTTTAAAAGCAATTACAATGATGTGTTTGACATTTATTGCACATACAGTATAGCATGCATGCTATTTGGCTTAGACAAAACAAAGAGATAGAGATATTACAGCATACATACAACCCTCCTCTTCATATATAGAGTTGGGGGATTGAGCAGGGAATGTGTGGCTTCAGTGATCCACCTAAACCCCGGTCTAAGTCTAAACAAACACAGGTCTTTCTCACAGATCAGAGGCTGTGTGAAAGGCTGCGCCCTAAAGTGTAAAAGCAGAGGAGCTCAGATGTGTGACGCTGCTCTCCTCGTTTCCCAGACATCAACAGGAAACAACGTGTGCCATATACAGTATGTGGATCATGATATGACAACTTTGAGATATGATTCAGCCTTAACCTTTAAATGAACATAAGTAATAACAGGTCATCTTTAAGATTGTCCCCGACCAATCCAACCGGAGGCACAGTTATCACTAGCTGCTCAAGTCCTTATAAACAAATGTGTTGCTACCGTCACAGACAGAACAATTCCGCTGTCAAACCATTTGTAAGCCTTTGACAAACTAACCTGAGGCTCGCCACCCCCTTCCAGGTAGCTCCCCAAAGGATTCAAGAACTTAACACATGATCCTGAATCATTCACCTTTGAGTTATTACATATCTATTTCAACTACTACAAATGGCTTTCATTAATGCAGGGATACTTTTTCAGTTGTTATTACATCGACTAAAACTGTATTATGACTGCAAAAAGGAGTCACTCTCTACCATTTCAGTTTTATTATAGTAGCTCTCCAATCATAAAGGTTGGAGACCCCTGGCTCAGAGTAAATTCATCTGTAAATGGTTTTATCTAAATAGACTGAAAGCATTTGATAAAAAGTGGTAATCAAAACATTTCTTCTTTTTCAAAACACCCATGTTATACCTGAAGTGGTGTACAATAGCGTTAAAAGCCAGGCCATCGGACCAGCTGGTGGTGAAGTTCAGCACATTGACTTGTGGGTAAGATGCAGTGCACTGGCGC